CGTTTATTGATGTAATTAAGTAACTTGTGGCTAGATTCGAGCGAATTGGTGGTGGAATCAAGGTGTAAATCTATAATTGAATCGTGAATTGTGTTCGAGACATCGAGGTAAGTGTTCGGTCTAACCTTAGCTTGAGGGATTAGGAGTTGTGTCATATTTGCTATTTGCTTCTTGTTGAGTACGACGTATAGGCATGGTGACGAGTATCTATACGTTGGTGTCGAGCATGATCGTGAGTCTTAAATTGAAATTTGTTGTGTTCTTAAATGATATTACGGATGCTTTAATTGATGATTCTCGATATTGAGCAAGGATTGAGTTTCTTTTCATAGAAGTTATTTATGACTGAGTATTGGTGTTAGTTGAGATGAGTAGATGTTGCGTTAGCATTGCATATAGATGTTTCTCCCTTGCCTGGACGTAATTACTTTTACTGTTGAATTCCTTGCCGGGATAGAGTAGATTATTGTTGATCCCTTGCCGGGACTCGTGGTATGGTTGTTATGAAAGGTATATAAATATATGGATCGGGTTGCACTCCGCAATAATACTAAATAGGGATCGGGTTGCACGCCGCAACAATGTTATATATGGATCGGGTTGCACGCCACAACAACGTTATATTGGATCGGATTGCTGCCGCAACAGTGATATAAATGGATCGGGTTACACGCCAGTTAAATGGCAAGGGATCGGGTTGCGCGCCGCAATAGTGTTATTATTGTTTTGTTGTAGATTTTGAATCGTTCTCCCCTATTTTCTTAAGTTTCTGCTTGATTTGATATTTTCCCTATAGCATGTACCCCCTCCCATTTAAATTGTTTATTCCTGTTTATTCTCCGTTGTATATTATATAACTGCACAGGTTTATCTGGAGTTTGGTCATAGCCTCGTCACTACTTCGCCGGGGTTAGGCCAGGCACTTACTAGCACATGGGGTCGGCTGTGCTGATGCTACACTCTGCACTATATACAGATATCGAAGCAGTTTTTGGACAGTAGTACTCGGGGAGCCAGCCTTCAGTCCAGCCAGAGATCCCGAGGTAGTCTTGCAGGCGTCCGCAGGCCCAACGTTCTCTTCTATTTCATTATGTACTCTGTTTTCATTAGATTTCGAGACAGATTGTATTCCTTTCAAACATTGGCTGTAGTAAATCTTAGTCCGTCCGTGAATATTGTGATACCAGGTTCCGGGTAGAGAAGTATATTGGCATTGTAGCACTGGCTTGGTTATTTTTAGTTGTTTAAGTCTTCCGCTTATTCTGTTTATCGTTAATTTTAAAGTGTTGATCTCCTGTTAATTCAAGTTGTTAAAAAGGATTAAAATGAAAGAGTTAGAATTTTTATATTTCGTGGCTTGCCTAGCTTCTACGAGTAGGCGTCATCACGACTTCCGAGGATGAAAAATCTGGATCTTGACAGTTATATATGGACTAAAATCCATCTAAGCCAAAACGAAGCCTTTTGTATTGCGCTTTAAGAAATTAACCTTTTTGGAATGGAAAACCATCAATATCCATCTTATTTTGAAGTTTATCTTATTTGTACTCGGAACATCAAAATTAATATTAACTATAAAGTATACCTACTTAACAAAATATAATTCTTTATCGCATATTCAGATGATATTCAATTGTTTCGAGTTTAACTACGAGGTCACAGAAATAAGGTCACTTCATAATTTTGAGCTTCCACTTTTTTCCCGTTAAATTTTATTTTATACTGCAAACGGACACATGTTTTAGTAATAAATAAAAATCAATATTAGTTCACAAGGAATACACAATGTACGTGACCAAGATACAATTTGACTCAAAAGATTTTAAACTCTTTTTAAGCAAATTAATCAAAGAAGATGAAGGGGTTAATCCTAGTTAAAGGTAATTAACTCTAGATCCGAGATGAATAATACGAATTAGAAAACATAGCCGAATATAAATGTTGACGGCGATTATGGCCAGATTTAATAACATAAAGAAAGATGCATTAAGTAACAAAAATGTGAATAAAGGAAAAGATTCACCCGATCTTCAGTGAGACGGATCTTCTTTCATTTAATAAAGATGAATAATAGGCAAATACAAGAACCTTAGGACCCTTTTGGATCTGATAAAGATATGGGATCACATATCCTCTTATTTCTTTGGAGAGGTGTGTTTACGTATCTTCTAGAAAGAGGGAGAGGGAGAGAGAGAGAGAGAGAGCTCGACCCCCCTTTTGGGAAGTCCTCCCCTCCTATTTACAAGAGAGGTATCCATAGAAAATCCCTAAAAAAAGGTACAATTTAGAGGGAATATTCGGTAGAATATTCCTTTTGAGGATTCTACAAGACTAGTTGTTTCATCACTGCTCGACTTTGGCCTGTCCGACCTCGACTTTATTGATGACTGTCCGACCTCAATTTGTCCGACCTTGACCTTACGTCTCCGCGTCCCGAATTTCTCTGATCTAATTTTGACCCATACAGATATAATAATATAAAGACATGTCTTATTACAGTAAAATATATCTAGATATTTTCTGATTCTACTATAATAACAATCAAGTGTGTCTCCATTCTAAACAAGTTATATGAATTATTGTTGTTCAGGTCGTTCGCTCCGATTAAATGCGTCTAAATATTGTAAGAAAACTATTCTATCACTACAAGTTCTCTATATTTGCTATTAACATAAGAAAAGAAAAGCACTCTACTACTTATTAACCCTCTACCTTAATGTTCGGCCTTCACACCCTCTTATTAAAGGTTATATCCTCGATAAGCTGAAGCAGTACCATGTCCTACCTAATCACTTCGTCCAAATACTTCTTAGGTCTGCATCTACTTCTCCTCGGTCCCACCAAGACCAACTTCTCACATCTCCTCATAGGATATATGTGTCTCACCACTTTATATGCCCGAACCATCTAAGTCTTCCCGCATCTTGTCCTCCACCGAAACCACTCTCACGTTGTTTCGAATAACTTCATTCCTTATAAGTAGTTGAAAAATATAAATAGCTAAGTATTTGTTTGTCTTGTTTTAAGCATACTTTTATTTTGGCAAATGAGTAAAACAACTAGTGATGACTAAAAATAAAACTTGAAAAAGTAGCTAGTGTCAAAATGAGATCAAATAATCCAAGTTAATTACTGATGGTCGCAGTCGCCAGTTAAGATTCACTATGCATAGTCAAATGAAGAAAGAATAAAAAAGAAAGGTTGGGAAATACAATTTGATCTTGGGTAACTTGATCGCCAAGAGCCATCCATTGACTAAGTGACACTGCGACTGCTTTATTAACTAGTCCCTATAAAATCCTAAATATCTCGTGGTTATTCCAGGGCACTAATTTCTTCCTTGACTAATCTTGTTTGTTTAGTACAATGGCCATGAAACCCGTGAAGTACTGTGTGGTAAGTAATTTCTGTCTCACACATTTATTATGTTTCTTGAATGGTATTTTCATTTTTTCAAATGGTTATTGAACTCATCACAGGTGGATGCCTTCACTGACGCAGCATTCAAAGGGAACCCAGCAGCTGTTTGCTTATTAGAAGAAGACAGAGATGATGAATGGTTACAGTCTGTTGCTACTGAGTTCAATATCTCTGAAACTTGTTATCTCACTCAGCCACTTACCCTATCTAATGAAGCTAACCCCACATTTGGCCTTCGTTGGTTCACTCCGGTTACTGAGGTCAGCCTGTCTAGCTACCTCCTCTTTCAACTTCAAACAACTGTTACTCAATCAAACCTTCCGATACTTAGCTTTAATTTTATTCCTCTGTCTTATTTAACACTAGGAAGGCAGTATGAACTCTATACCCTCCGATCCTTTCTACTTGATCAATTTTGGTAAAGTTATTAATTAGCAAACAAATTTGGAACTCATACAGTTTAAATCCTGAATTCAGGCAATACAATATGCAAAGCACTTTTACTTAGTGGGTAAGATTTGTTAATTGGAGAATAAAGTTTGGAGCTCATCTCTCTGAAAATTTGTTTTTGGTAAAACTGGGGAGAAATGGAATCCATAAGTTTGAAAAGTGTTTATTGAAATGAATAAAAGAGCAGTAGTATCTGTTTTGAAAAAGCTAAACCCAGCATCTGTTTCCTGCTTATTTTTCTTTCTGAATGAGTGCAAGTAATTCACTCTTTAGCAAAGGAATTTCATTTGTGCTTTGCAGGTAGATCTATGTGGACATGCAACGCTAGCAGCTGCACACTTTCTGTTTGCCTATGGCTTAGTTAAAACTGATACGATTGAGTTTTCAACAAAGTCAGGAATTTTAACTGCCAAAAGAGTTCCAGAAACCAAAGCTCCAAAATCTCAGGACGATTACTCAATTGAATTGGATTTTCCTGTTGTCCAAGTAGCCGAGACGAGTTCTGCTGATGTTGCTGCAATTTCTGAAAGCTTGAATGGTGCATCTGTGGTTGAGATCAGTGACACATCTCACGGCTATTATGTTGTACGTATTATTTACCTTTTATATTCACTAGTGCATATATAAAGGTACAAACATGAAGAACATACAAGAAAGAACGAAAAGGAAATTGCTTTCAATCCTAGGACAAGGCATCGTAGACAAATTTTAATTAAAATTAGCCCTTTCTAGGGATATGAAGAAATTTTTGTTTTTTCCAGATATTGCTCCCATCAGGAGAGGCAGTGGTGGAATGCCAACCTCAGTTTGCTCAAATAATGAATTTCCCTGGCAAAGGTATAGTAATAACTGGACCTGCTCCAAGGGATTCTGGCTTTGATTTCCATAGTCGCTACTTCTGGCCAAAGTTCGGAATCAATGAGGTAACTGCCACAACTTGAATCAATGAGGTATACAGTAATAAATTGCGTTCAAACAGATCATAGTCAATGAAAAGGGTAGTGCTGAATTTGCACAACCTATAGAATTAAGCCAATTATATACTGTAGATATTATTTATTATACCTTGGCCAACTACAGGTCTATATGTTGGTATAGCTCATGCTTCTTAGATATCTCACCTGTTCATATTTTTGTTTTCTCAAACAAAACTTTTCAGGATCCTGTTTGTGGAAGTGCTCATTGTGCTTTGGCTCCTTATTGGCATAAAAAGCTTGGCAAATGTGACTTTGTTGCTTTAGCGGTACTTCCTCTTTTCTACCAACTTCCCCCATCCCCTCCGGTGCAGGGGCAGAGCCAATGAATAAGTTACAGGTTTATCTGAACCTAGTAACTTTGGCTTAGGCCCTGTATATGTATTAAAAATCCAGCTAAATAAGTTTAAATTCTTGATCCGCCTCTGCTCCAGTGGGCACGAAAAGCACAAGCTGAAATTCTTATCCATGTGTTTGTGCAATCTGGTACTTATCTAACCACATTTGTTCTCTTTTCCCTATTGACTTGTATTGTTTTGTGGTTCAGGCCTCAACTAGAGGTGGCGTTGTGAACGTGCATCTAGACGAGGAGAATCAGAGGGTATTTCTGAGAGGGAAAGCTGTTGTTGTTATGGAAGGTACTCTTCTAGTTTAATGTACAAGTGGAAATCAATAATTTCCATTCATCGGGCGGATACTATCATAAATTTAATAAAGTAGTGCAAGTACATGTATTCTATATTGGTTTTTCCTATGTATTTCACTCTGAATTTTAGAGTATTCTTCTCTTGTTGTAAGTTCCAGTGTATTGAAAATCAACAAATTTCAGATATCAGAATAAAATGCTTGAAATTAATAGTAACAAAGACGGCATACCTTACAATATTCGTAAGTACATTCAAACTATATAATTAAAAACAAAACCAGGGTATATAGTGTCTTGCTTTAGGTTAATTTCAACTCAAGTTACTAGCCGTGGTAAAGTTGAAATTGGAACATGTGGTGTTGTATGCCAAAACTGATGAACTAAACCCTAATCTCTGTTGTCTCAAATCAAATTGCAATAGATTGTCCTCCATTTGATGTCCCCCAATTATAATAGATGTCTTAGTCTTAACCCCACCATCCAAAAATCCTAAACACCACACATCAACACCATCTCGAAATATCCTAACCATTGAATTTGATCCGAATATCCTCCAAAACACATCATCACCTTGCATCACGAGGTCAACGGTCGGCACGGCTGGTCCCACCCTAGTCTCCATTACCTCATCTGCATTATAACAAACCTTAAATGGTTCCACAGGATTTGTTACTGTGAGGTTGAGCTTAGTTGATTGATCTACAAATGTCTCGGTGAACGCTTTGTAGATGCTACTGTGTAGTAAGGTGTATGGAGTTACGGTGCTCAGCTTGGTCCCACCGAAACCATGTTCATCAACGGCTAGGATCTTTCGGCTCAGTTGCACGGTGACGCCGTTGACTTTTATGGAAGTCAAATTAATGAAATAGTCACTCTGAAATGCGTTCAAGAGAAGTGGAGTGAACCGGAGGGTTTTTGAGAGGTCTATTTCGGGGAGGAAGTAATACGGTCCAGATGAACCGAAAAAAGCCACTCCAGGAGCTGAAGGCGAACCGGATAGACACAGAGCAAATGTGCGTTCGGACGAAAAGGCAGTGCTAACCTGTAAAAGATGAACTTAAGGTCTTAAATAAGTTCATATGAAGTATGAAGATTAACTCATCTATATCATACTGACATTAATTTCTTTAAAAAAAACTTTTTTGGTCTTATAATAAGCTACGTACGCAAAATAGTATAAAATCATAGCTTATTATAGTTAAATATATTTAGATATTACCTGAAACTTTTTATATAATTTATGATTTTGTAATAATAACTATGCCTCAATTCTAAACTAAGTTATATTAATTTTGTGTTGTCCAGGTCACTCCAGTAAACTATCCTCCTATTATAAGAAAATTAGCTTTTCTATTGACAGAGTAATCTATAATAAGACTAAAAGATTCCTAACAACGACCTAAAATAAACGTACTAGCATGATTCGAACTTAATTCAACTAATTCATATTGTCTTCTTTGTAAATATGAAAAATTATAATCAAACGTACATCATTTTATCTTCTGCGTAGTATTTTCTTCAATTCATTTTACGGGAAAAAAACTTTAATACATATCAAAATTATAAAAAATTAAAGTTAAAAGAATTTTCAAGAATTGCAACAACAGAAGACATCGGATACACTCCAACCTGTGTGGTGAGAGAGAATCTGGACCGGCCTAAACCGGCCAAACCGGCTACACCTTTCGTAAGGCCTTTCAACAAAGACGACTTAGAGCAAGATAACAGGAACTCGGAAAAGCTCCTGAGGTGACCCGGATTCCGACCGTCAGTGACCGGCAACGCAAGCGAGTCAACAATAGCCTTTCCGGTCGAAAATTTGTGTGTGACAGAATTTAAAGGAGAAAGAGTACAGGGATTATTAGAACAATGAGGGGTAGGAGAGTGAAAACACTTAGCACAAGCGCGTGAGCCAAGAGCAGAGCACAAAGGGGAATCGCAGGAGAGGGTTCGGTAAGTAGAGGAAATGTAGTTATTATTGGAACAATCAACCCAACTGAAAGAAGCGCCCAAATCAAGAAGGAGATTTGTGAGGTTTGGAGGGGTTTTGAGGTAAACTGAGAGCGAGTATAGACGAGTTGCATGGTCTTTGGTAATTGGTGCTAAAACAGCTGAAAAGGAAGAAGAAATGAAGAGAGATGAAGCAAAGAAGAAAAGGGCGACGCTAATGAGTTTATTCGGAAGCATTTTTCTGTGAAGAAATTGACATTCTAACATTTTTCGGGGAGGGAGAAGTGAGCACCAGATCAAAGGAAAATTCAGTAAGAGTTCTAACATATAAGATTTTTAAAGCTAAACTATTTATTACTATAACTTTGTTACGAAATAAAGACTATAAAGTAAAGACAAGTATAGAGAGAAACTGATATATTATTCGAATTCAAATTGATGTACATAATGAACCGAAATCTCTTCTATTTATAGAAGAAAGGAAGCTGCTCTGTAAGCTGCTACTACAAGCTGCTGTGTAAGCTGCTACTACAAGCTGCAGTGTAAGCTACTATAAGCTGCTGTGTAAGCTGCTACTACAAGTTGTTGTGTAAGCTGCTACAAGCTGCTGTGCAAGTTGCTGTTGTACCATATATGGATAATCTTCTACTGAGAGCAATATTTATTCATAACGGAGTACTGAATGGATAAGCTTATTATATCCGGTATGGATAATCTTCTACCGGGGGTAATTGTTATCCATAACCGGGTAATGAAAAGATAAGCTCATTATATCCGGTATGGATAATCTTCTACCGGAGGTAATGTTTATCCATAACTGGGTACCGAAGTGATAAGTTTCTTCAGGAAGCTTATTTCCAATATAGTACTAAATAGATAAACATATTTACGGTGGAGTCCCATATGGATAAGCTTCTTCAGGAAGCTTATTTACAACGGAGTACTAAATGAACATCCATAATATAATATATTTATAACACTCCCCCTTGGATGTTCATTAAAAAGATAATGTGCTTCATTAAAACCTTACTAGGAAAAAACCACGTGGGAAAAAAAATCTCAGCGAAGGAAAAAGAGTACACATATTTAGTAAGACGCATTGCTAGGTGCCTCATTAAAAACCTTATAAGGAAAACCCCATGGGAAAACCTTAGTAAGGGAAAAAGAGTGCATCACGTATTTTACTCCCCCTAATGAAAACCTTGTTTCAAATATTTGAGTCTCCGCATTCCAGTCTTGTATACCATCTTCTCAAA